CGCTTGCACAACAGCAGTGCGTACTGCGCTTGCACAACAGCAGTGCGTACTGCGCTTGCACAACAGCAGTGCGTACTGCGCTTGCAGAAGAGCAAGGCTGGGTCTCCGCTCGTGCCACTCCTTCAAGTCCAGCGCCAGGGGATCCGAAGCCTCCGCCCTCTACAGACACTCACACTCAAATGTACATACTCAAATATGTAGACAGAATTTTAAAAAAATAAATCTCTTTTTTAAAGTATTCATGGTAAACTAGTTGAGAATAGATGGAATATAGCAAACTAGGAAACTAAATCTAGACCAACAGATGAATGGAAAAATACATTTAGTTAATGTTGGCTTACTGACACCAAAAAGAAAGCTTCCAGATACTTACTATCCAAAAAGTTTCTTCTCATAAATAACTATTAATATGCACAAAGAAAAAGACACTAAAGGGAATTATAAAACAACAACATTTTCTGAAAAGTTGGTAAAAATAATTTATATTTATCATGCATGGTGACATAGGCCTGTAACACCTGTACTCAGGGATTCCAGCAGGATGATCAAGAGTTCAAGAACATCCTAGGCTGGGGGAGGGGGTACAGAGAGACAGAGACCGCTGACCCACCAGCCTAGGAGAATAGAAAAGAAAAACAACAACACAAAGCCTCTATGTTCATAGTCAGAAATGAGACTAAAAATTTACGGCACTCCCAAGGGAGGCCTGTTTCATGTCTACAAGTGAACTAACTTAAAAAGATTTTCAGGCATGACAGAAGTGGTTCAATCTCTAGGGTGCCTATGGAGTATTTGGGAAGGCCTGAGTTTTGTCCTCAGCTCCCCTGCAAATTCTTCTGACAGAAGTCATTCCCACTTAAGGTGGCAAGTATGAAAGGTAGGATACTTAAGAGTAAATTAAAAATAATTAGCCAATCCACAGGACCTACCACATATACTTTGTAAAAAATATCTTTTTCAAAGTGATGGTGACATCAAACAAAATAAGGGGTAACCTGGTTAATGCTTACTCATGCAGCACTTCCCTAAGGAAACCTGTGTGTGCCTGTAATTCTAGGACCACTAGGAAAGGTTGAAACACAAGGCTAAATATAGAGTTCAATGTTAACCTGGGCTACATGAGCCTATCTCAAGAGAAAAACAAAAAAGGGAGTCCCATGTTAGATTCTGAAGGAGGACACAGGCTGACAGCAGAAGAGGCATTAGGAACCCCTTGGTACTTCTAGTTTCAGGGACACTGACCCCAACTTCTCCTCTGGCTCAATCCAGAGTGGGCCAGCACACAATATCAGACACACAGATTCCTGCATGGTAATAGACAAGCCACTCACCTTGGGATACTGACGGTGACACACTTCAGCTAGATGCAAGCCGGTGACCACTCCAAGTCTAGCTGCAAGGCGCTGGAGCAGCAGCCCCACAATGGTAGCCAACAGAAGCACCCAGAGCAACTAAGGAGAACAACATCCCCCAACATCATTAGACAAGCAAAGGGCTTTTTGACTGGTTGTTTGGAGATGCTAACGGGAAACAGTTCGTCAAAGCAGGGGGATGGGTCCACACTCTGCAACAGCTTCTACACGTGACCCACTAGGTCTAGCATCTTTCTGATCCTCAGTTTCCCATCTTTTGCTTTTCCTAAGGATATTTATTATGTGGATAAAACAAGAGACCATGCCAGGCAGTGGTGGCTTAATCATTTTGGAGGCAGAGGCAGGCAGATCTCTGAGAATTCAAGGCCAGCCTGGTCTACAATGTGAGTTCCAGAACAGTTAGGATTGTTATTCAGAGAAACCCTGTCTCAAAAATTCAAAACTCAAAACAAAAACAAATAAAAAACAAGACACCATATAGTAAGGACTTTTCACGAAGTGTCAGTGCCAATGAAGACCTGTGCATGCTGGAACAATGAGGGAGCGTTGGGGTTTGAACGAGAATGGCCATGGGCTCCTAAGTTTGAATACAGTTGTGGAATTGTTTGAGCAATCAGAAAGCCTGGTCTTGGTGGAGGTGTGTCACAGGGCAGTTTTGAGGCTCCAAAAGCTTCCTGCCATTCCCTGTGTCCTTTCTGCTTCCTGCCATTTCCAGTGTCCTTTCTGCTTCCTATTTGGGGACCATGTGCTCTCAGCTGTTCCTGCTCCCCACACCTCTGTTCTACTGTAAGCCCAATTAAAGTTGTTTTGTTCTGTGGCTTTGGAGATTGTCCTGGAACTCACTCTGTAGACCAGGCTGGCATCGAACTCATAGAGATCCACCTGCCTCTGCCTCCCGAGTGCTGGGATTAAAGGCATGCACCACCACCACCCAGCATTCTAAGTTGTCTTGACATAGTCTTTCATTAGAGCATTAGAAAAGTAACTAAGACAGGAGGTTAGACACCAAGTCCCAGACTCCTCTGCCGTGCAAGAGAAGTTTTCATGTAACATTTCATCCCCTAAAACTTGATTAACAGCCTGTTTATCAGAAGCCATACCAATAATACAACACACTTATTTACGCTTAGCCAAAAGGCCAAGAAGCAATTGGCATGAATAAAATCTACACAAAAACCTACACAACAACCCAAGAAACCCTTTTTACTGTACTACATCCCTTACTGAAAGAGAAGCTGCTCACACAGAAACGACCAGCCACACATCATAAGCAATCACGTGAGCTCATAAGAGCACCAGGTGCCAACACAGAAGTACAGCACACATGACAGCTACTGTACATGGTTAGGAGTTAACAACACATCTTACATTTGCTTTTATTTCTCTCAACTGAGAACAGCTCCACCGTGAACTGTGTGCGTGCAGAGGATGGGGTGCATTTTAACCTTTCTGCAGTAGATCTCCATATAGCCTGGGGTAGTAAATTATAAAACAGATTGTTATGTCTGGGCTGGGCATATACCTTTAGTTCTAGCATTTTGAAAACAGAGGCCAGCCTGGTCACATAATGAGTTCTAGGACAGCCATGTAAATAAGTAAAATAGAAAGTTGCTGATAATCTAGAAAGAACCTACACATAAGTAGACATGCACAGTTCAAACCTATGTTGTTCAAGGGTCAACTCTACCTGAAGGCTACTCAACATGATCAAGAAAAAGGTGTAAGAGTATAACAAGGGCTCAAAGATGAGGACAGCATTGCAAGGCCCCAGAGTTCATCCTCAGCATTGCAAAAATGTCAGCAAAAATAACAATAATGAAAACTTGTAAACTGGATGCTCACCTTAAATCCAGCCACTGCCCCAGACTGCAAATCAGATTCGATGTTTCCTGGATCCAAGTAGGCAATGCTCATAAGAAAGCCAGGCCCCGTGAACGCCCACAGTTTACGAAAGCTAAAACAAGAGTGCTGTAAACGAGAGAGGAAAGGCAGCCTGAGTGTCTCCACTACTCTGTCACCTGTCAAGGGGCATCACCAACTGCAGGGGCTCAGGGCACGCAGGGCACGTGCCCATGTTTCACATCCAGCTCTCAGTGACAGCCCTTCCTTTACCGGCTCTCCATCAGCAGCTCGTTCTACAGTAAGTAACATGGCACCCTGGGCTCCCCCACTACCCACACAGGAGCAGAGAGAGGCACAGCTGAAAGAGGAAGCCACAATATCCATCCTTCCTGAACTACAAAATTCTCACTAGTACCTTTCCCACAGAGGCCATTTATCCTGATGATGTCAGAGACTGGCTGCCAAAATAAGACCTCAGGTTGTTGAGCTAGAGGTGGCTGGCAGACCTGTCCCTCCAAGGCTTTCCCCAGGACACAGGGTCCCCTGCAAGGAACCATCACTAACCTCCTCTTCAGGAATGGGGATCTTCTCGTCAAAGTATGTGGTGAAAGGCTCCTCAGAGTCCCCAGTGGACTGAGGGAGGGAGGAGTTACTATAGGCAGGATTGATGGCACTGAGGCTGGCAGAGTCTCCATGGTCTCCAGAAGCGCCATCTGTGTTAACATGACCACATTCACTAATGAGCACTCTCAGTAATGCTAACCCTTGTCTGGCATATGTTCCCCCATCACTGAGCAACAGCTTTAGACCTGCACACACAAGAGACCAGCCTAGACACAAGGGCTGGTCTCAGACTGGTCTGTAACCCAGACTGGTTTGTGCCAAGGATGACTCTGAACTTGATTCTTTTGTATCCACCTCCCAAGTGCTGGGATTACAGCCACATACCTGGTTTTAAATAGAGCTGAGAACTGAGCCCAGGGCTTCATGCATGCTATGCAAGCACTCTACAAAAAAGTTACATCCCCAGCCCAATAAATTAAATATCTTTACAGGGTAATATGTGTACAAGCCAGCTGTGGTACAGCCTGCAACCCTAACTCTTGGAAGCAAAGAGTTCAAAAGCCTCTAAAAGCTCTCAGCCTGGGATCAGTTTAACATGATATTTTATAGTCCTTTGAGAATTTCATACCATGCATTTTGATTAGATTCCTTCCTGTCCCTACTTTCCCTACCTCCTCTCAGATCCATGCCCTGTCTCCTCCCTGGGTCAGTCTTAACACTAATCACTGGACTTCCTCTACACCCACCTGATAATGGTTCTCTAAGGACAATGACATGCTTGAAAGACTAAATCAAAAGGGATACAAGTCTGAGTTCAGTCTGGGCTTCAATTTAACAAGACTTTGTCTTAAAACCAACAAAGCAATACACACCTACGACTCAATATTGACAAACTAGCCCCATGAGAAATTCAGAATCCTAATTTTTAAAAGAAAATAAGTCAGGTACTAGGACATCTTCCCATCCCATTATCCAGCAGGACTCACTCAAGGATCATTCTTGGGTACCACAGCTCTATCAGTCTCACACAGCAGAAGAGAGAACTGGAAAACCCACCCAACACTAAGAGGATGCGGCAAAGCAGAAGTCTGGGAAGTCTGACTAAGGCCTCTGCTTAGTGACTGTTGGTCACGGGTGCTAGCGCCCTTGTGACAGCAGGGCTCATAGCAGCCTGAAAGCAGTGTTTCCCTGAAGTCTGCATTTTACAGTTAATCTTAAATCCAAGTTGGGGAAGGCCTAGCAGAAAAGGGCTAGTTCACCAAGAGCTTCCAAAGTCCACCGAGCTGTCGGCATCACGAGGCTTTCTCCTCTTTCTCATAAACCCTACAACCCACTAAAATATCAGCGCTCTGGTTTTTCTAGGACGCTGGTCCCCACCACCTTCACTAAGCAGAAGGGAGTGGGTGGTCTAGAGGAGGAGCTCAGCTGCACAGGACCCTGTGCTTCTGCTCCATACACACATGAAACACTGCATATATGACACTGCAGGAATGACGCTGTCCTCGCAAGCATTACTGTTCTAGAAACCAAACTAGCTGGCAATTAGAAATAAGACATGAGGAAGAATCCAATGGTCATAAATTAATTTCATTCATAGCTGCCTTATCTAGGAAAGCCCAATCCCATACAGACTATGACACAAAGATGTAAGTTACCATCTGGCATCTTTTCTTCAGGGTCCAACACCATGGTAGGTACCTGAGTGTCTGTGTTCTTAGAATAGGATTCTATAAGAGAAAGGAAAGGTAAAGAATTAGTAAGAACAAAACTAACGCTTTTTGCCACTGTATGGCTGAACCCTTGTATGAAAGGAACAATCCTCTCCTCAATCAGCTGACCCTGAAAATAACTACAGATTTCAAAACAGGATTAAGAGACATTAACAAAAACAATAAAAGATGAGGCCAGGAAGAGGCTGTGAGTCAGCCTCTTGGCTCTCACGGGTTCCAAGCTCAAGTGGGACCCTCTGTATGCACAGCAGATGAACCTGCCAACAAATCTGTTTGGTTGTTGTTATTTCGATTTTTTGGGCAGGGTTTCTCTGTGCAGCCCTGGACGTCCTGGAACTGCTTAGTAGGTCAGGTTGGTCTTGAACTCACAAAAATCCCACCTGCCTCTGCTGAAATTAAAGGTGTGCACCACCACACCCAGCTCCCAACAAATCTGTCTTTGTGTGCACTAACGGGCTGCTAATCAACAAGTTTCTGCTTCAATATTAAGCCAATATTAGCCCAAATTAACCCAAAATAGCCTCAATATTAACCAAAATATCTAACAACGGAATAATCTTCAAAATTCACAACTTTTAAAAGAACAGAAAGCAGCCAGGTTTGTAGTAACAAAATCTGGAAAATGGAGGCAGGATAGGGAAATCAACATCAGCCATGTGACAACAAAAGGGAATAAAAATCTGGCCTAACTAACAATTTAAACTCATGATTCAGTTTTATGGATGGGTGTGGAAGGTGCCTCTCAAGTGGATGATCACTATTCCCTAGAGGGAAAACTAAAGAAAGTTCCAGTCTCGCTCTGAAAATTGGGAGAAGCTAGTTACCCACAGGCTAAGCTGCCCTGGGGTCTGCAAGAATGCTGAGGTTAGCAGGACTGGGCCCCATCTGTGGGAAGCAGTGTTTCTCTGGGCACCAATGACATATCAGGGTGCAGCTGGGGACTGGGGGAGCATTAGCAAGCTGACACGGTGGTCTATCCACAGAACACTGTCGACTTGGCCTCACTACAAAGGCTGAACTTTTTTTTTTTATTTATTTATTTTTTTCAGGGGGCCGGGGAGACATGGGTATCATATAACTCACAGGAGTTGGCTCCCTTCTTCCACTGTGCGGGTCCCTGGATGGAGCCATCCCTCAGCTCTAAAAAGGCCGAACTTTTCACTTCTGAACCTACTTACTATGGACTTGTTGTCTCGGTTGATTGCAAACATACAGCGAGAGAGAAAGTTATCACCAATACTGCTCACAGGAACCCTCAAAGTGCTCACCTGCTGAGAGGGGGAGAGCCTCCTTCCCCCAAAACATTTTTTCTCCTCTATCTCAACAGCCCTCCACCTTATTTTCTGGATATTCTTTATATATTAACATGTTTTACCTTACTGAATTCTATCAAAAGTGAGCTCTGGGTGTCACCCTAGCCAGCACACCGTCCATGGTTAATTTAAGGAGCACCATCTCTCCCTCACAGTTACCAGGGGCAAGCATTTTCCTGCAACAGACAACTAGCCCCGTGTTTCTGGTCAGCCCACAGACCCCCGCTACCACTCATCAATCCAGCCTCTTCCACCCACTTATAGTGGCCTCATCTGAGGGCTGTCATTCATTTGACCATTCTGCTGGGCTCCAGTCACAGCCATGGGTTGGTGGGTAGCCCTTTAACTTTGTCATTCTGTGTGAATAAGGCAAGACACCCAGTTATCCTACCCACAGGAAATGAGAAACTACACATCAGGTCAGTCACTGGACTCTTATAAGAAAAGGAACTTGGGCCACAAGAAACCACCAAACTTCATGCAGTGCTTCTGGGAGCTTTGGGTCACGTGACATGACCTGCCATAATCTCTGTTCAGTTCTGAGAACAGCCACACAGACTGACTAAATCAGATTGTTTTCGCAATGAGGGCTGATATCCTGTTTAAGAATATTCAGTATGCTGAGCAGTGATAGCGCACGCCTTTAATCCCAGCACTCAGGAGGCAAAGGCAGGCGGATCTCTGTGAGTTCGAGGCCAGCCTGGTCTACAAGAGCTAGTTCCAGGACAGGCTCCAAAGTTACGCAGAAACCCTGTCTCGAAACAAACAAACAAAAACAAATAAAATGAAATTGTCAGCCAGGCAGTGGTGGTGCACTTTAATCCCAGCTCTCAGGAGGCAGAGACAGAGGCAGGCAAATCTCTGAATTTGAGAACAACCTGGTCTATGAAGCAAGTTCCAGGACAGCCAGGGCTGTTATACAGAGAAACCCTGTAGAAAAGAAAAGCAAGAAGAGGTGAGGGGAGGGGAAGAGAGGGGGAGAAGAGACAGAAAGACAGACAGACAGAAAAGAAAGGAGGGAAGGAAGGAAGGAAGGAAAAAGGAAAGGTAAGAGCGAGAGCAAGAGAGGAAGAAAAGAAGAAAAGGAGGCTTGTTGAGGGCTGGTGAGTCGCTCAGCTAATAAAGGTGCTTGCCACCAAGGCTACCTGAATTCCACCCTCAGGACCCACATGGTGGATAGCAGAAAAACAGAATTGACTCCTACAAGTTTCTTCGTTCTCATGCACACACACACACACACACACACACACACACAAACATACACAAATATATAATGTTGCTTAAGGAAAGAAAGAAAAGGCAGTTGGGAGCCAGTTTGGTGATTCATAGCTATAATCCTAGTACTTTGAAAGTGGAGGAGTCAGGAAGATCATGAGTTCAAAACCAGCCTCAGCTACACAGCAAACTCTAGGCCAGAAAGTACAGAAAAGAGAGAGAAAGAAGCAGTAGCAAAGCAAAAAGCGGGTCAAAAGGAAGTAAGTACTGAGCTCCCCTCTATCTTTTTTGGCAATAAAAATGCTTCACCAGGTACTTGTATTATTGTTATATGTAGTCGTGAGGCTCAAACCCAGGTGCTCCAGCAACATATATCACCAGGCCCTACTTACTTTTCTCAAAATGTAAAGCTTCTATAGATTGTCAGAGTCTTTCTGACAGCCACTCACTGGGGACATTCTGCGAAACTATAGATACTGAAAGTGTATAATCAGCTCTGGGCTTTCTAGAATGGCAGGCACTGACAGCCTAAAGCTTAACCTACTCCTCTTTTGTCTTAGTGCCCATATAATGACTCAAATTGTGAAATGATGATTTTCCCCTCAAATACAAAGAACAGAAGTCCTCTTTTCTTTTTTTTAGATTTATTTAATTAAGTATGCAGTGTTCTGCCTGTATGTCTGCCTGCAGGCCAGATCTCATTACAGATGGTTGTGAGCCACCATGTGGTTGCTGGGAATTGAACTCAGGACCTTTGGAAGGACAAGCAGTGCTCTTAACCACTGAGCCATCTCTCCAGCCCAGAAGTCCTCTTTCAAGAGAGCCATTTCCTAAATCTGACTCTGGGGTAAGCGGCCATCCACCGAGTACCCGCCAGCATCCACTGCTTAGCACTAGCCTATCTTCTGAGGTGGTGAACATTTACTCCCTGGTATTCTCATTGCAATTCTTCAGCTACTTTAATAAGAAGATTGATTACCTTAAAAATCACGCAGTGAAGAGAGAGCCCAGCACTCACTGCTCTTCCAGAGGACCCCGAGTTCAATTTTCAGCACCCACACAGTAGCTTACAACTGTCTGTAACTCCAAGTCCAGGGGACCCAACACCCTCAAACAGACAGACATGCAGGAAAAACACCAAATAAATCATTAAAAAAGAAACAAAATAAAGTATAAAATGCTATTTTTTTCTTATATTGAAAAAGGGCTTGCATTTAAAACAATGGCTTCTTATATTTGCCAAAGGCATTCATAACCATTTCATTAATTTTAAGGTATAGAGAATAAAGTTTTTATCACCCACCGCCCCATACTGAGGGGTGTTTCTATATAGTCTAAATCTCCCCACTTCTCAAAACTCTTTTTTCTTTCCTGCCTTTCATTTCAATAAAATCAAAGAACAGGAACTAGAATGTATATACAAGCAACCGAAAACAGTGCCTGTAAGGAAGCACCAGACTCCGTAGCTCCGAGCAAAAGAGCTCGGGTAAAGGGCACAGCCACACCTTTCCTGGAGCCTTTCCTCAGACACCGGTCAGATCCACAGATACAGTGGTCACACCTCCAAACACCCAGAAATGGCACTCAGAGTGTAAAGACCTTGTATGTACATTTGTGTGTGTATGTGTGTGAGCATGTGTGCACCTGTGGAGGTCAGGGGACAACTACAGGGTCGGTTCTAGTTCTACTTTGAGGGCTTTGGAGATCAAACAGCCTAGCAGCACTCTCTGGCTCTCAAGTACTCAGAAGAGAATATGGACCTGCCACCACAGAGTTTGGAGGCTGAGGCAGGTAAGTCACAAGTTCAAAGCCAACTTGAAGCTGCTTAGTAAAACTCTACCTCAGAAAGAAGAGTAGGACCAACACAAGAAAACATTAAGATTCCATTTTTTTTTCAAGACAGGGTTTCGCTGTAGCTATAGAGCCTGTCCAGGATCTAATCTAGCTCTTGTAAACCAGGCTGGCCTCGAACTCACAGAGATCCGCCTACCTCTGCCTCCTGAGTGTTGGGATTAAAGGCGTGTGCCACCAGTGCCCAGCAGGGCTCCAAATCTTGCTAGGTAGTGGTGGCACACACAGCAAGTTCTAGGACAGCCAGGGCTACACCAAGAAACCGTCTTGAAAAAACAAAAACAAACAACAACAAAAAATGACCTTAAAACTATAATTCACCCTACCTACCAGGGTTCTATATGCAACACACCTAGCTCACAAAGTACAAATAGCGCTCCTGTTACACAAAGCTACTCTACCTGAACCAGAGCTGGCTCCCTGTGACACAACAGTCACTGAGACAGTCATTTACTAACTTCGAATGCCACAGTAATCGTCTCTCCTCCTACCTATCTTACCCAAGAACTATAATTCCAATTCAACAAATACCAGCATGCTGTCTCTTACCTGAGTTTGACTCTTTAGTTCTTTCTTTGAATTGACAGAAAAACCTTATGGGGGTGGGAAGGTTTGGGGGAGCCTCACACTGCCTTCAATCCCAGCACTCAGCACTCGAGGGGGACAGAGGCAGCTCTGTGAGCTCCAGACCAGTGGGGTCTACGTAGGGAGTGCCAAGAGAGCCAGGACGACATAGACTTGGTCTCAAACAGACAAATAGTTGAAAAGCAAGAAAAGGAAAGCCTAGCGTGACGACTGACACGTGCTTCTGACTCCAGCTTTCAGAACACAAAAGCAGGAGGCTAAGAGGTCCAGGCCAGTCTGGGAGAAGCTTCAAGCCGACTAGGCTTAGACACCCAGATCCTGTCTGGAAACACACACACACACACACACACACACAGAGAGAGAGAGAGAGAGAGAGAGAGAGAGAGAGAGAGAGAGTCAGAGAGAAGGGAGGAGAAGGGAGGAGAGTAAGATCTGGGGAAAGGACCACAGCTGATAAGGAAACTGCCTGCTCCAGTGTCAAAGAAGATAAGAAAGGGGCAAACGTGGGCCAGCTGTCAAGTACTGATCTGTTAGACAAAAGTGTTATTTATCAACCATGACTTAGAAATATGGCCTGAGGCTGGAGAGATGGCTTGGTGGGGGGGGGGGTTTAAGAGCACTCTCTGCTCTTCCAGAAGACCTGAGTTCCATTCCTAGCACCTACATCATTTGGCTTAACTGTCTGTAACTCCAGTTCCTGACACCTCTAGTCTTGGTGGGCATCTGCACCCACGAGCACGTGCCTCCACACAGTCAGGGGCACGTAAACACTGGGGCATGCGCAAACACACTCATATACCCCCACACACAGATAATTAAAAATAAAATAAATCCCTTAAGAAAAAAAAAAGGGCAGAAGGAGGGCAGGCCGGGTACACACTCATAGGTAGGAGGGCAGGCCGGGTACACACTCATGGGAAGGAGGGCTTCCTGGGTTCACACTCATGGGTAGGAGGGCAGGCTGGGTCCACACTCATGGGTAGGAGGGCAGGCTGGGTGCACACTCATGGGCAGGAGGGAAGGCTGGGGCCACACTCATGGGTAGGAGGGCAGGTTGGGTGCACACTCATGGGTAGGAGGGCAGGCTGGGGTCACACTCACGGGTAGGAGGGCAGGCTGGGGCCACACTCATGGGTAGGAGGGCAGGCTGGGTCCACACTCATGGGTAGGAGGGCAGGCTGGGTGCACACTCATGGGCAGGAGGGCAGGCTGGATGCACACTCATGAAAACTAATCTTTTCCCTGCTGGCAGGGCTCACCATCCTGGTTGCCCACTGGAGCACACACGGTTTACTGTGCCCTGCTCTGCCTTGTCCTTTATTCCTCCAGCTAGGCCAGGGTAAGCTTCCTGCAAACTTCCTTCTAACCTCAGCTTTACAGCAGAGTTTCCTGGTGAGGGGGGAGCATCTGGTCACCTGGCCTGACACCTCATCCTGTGACCATCAAAGGCCCTTGCTTCGTGAAGAAAAGAAGAAATTTAACAAAAGAAATCTACCTTTCGTCACATAAAAACACTTTGCCTAAGACTTTTTTGCGACTTACTTATACAGTTTTTCTCCAGAAAATCTGAAGAATGCTTTTCTTTAGATCACAGCCAACCCATTTATGCTAACAGGTACTACCTTCAACATTTACCTTCTTTTCTTAAAAGAAAAATTATGTGTCAAGTCAAACAAACATAGTAAAAGATTCCTCAGCCTTGGATGCTTCCTTCTGCTCTTTGGAACCTGATAAAGTTTCAATAATTAACTTGTGGCCTTCTCCTCTCATTATGTATGAATGTGAGCACATTTCGACCTAAAGGAGTATTAAACTGTTTTAATACAGATGAGCAAGTGAACATATGCCACTTGCCACTGCAGTACATGGAGCAAGCTTTGTGAGTCACCATGTGGGTGCTGGGAATTGAACTCAGGACCTCTGGAAGAGCACCCAGGGCTCTTAACCGCTGAGCCATCTCTCTAGCCCATGGAGCATGCTTTGTAAGCAGCACTTTTCCTTAAACAGAGTTTCTCATTTAGCAATTGGTTCCTAGCAGTGTTGCTGAGTGAACAGCAGCTTCCTCTGAACTTCTGGGGTCTCCCAACTAGCAGGAATTAAGAGGGATTTTAAGGCTCATACAAAGATGTACTTGCATAGCAGAAAATTAAGGCATCAGACAAAACAGCACCTAACCAGGCTCTTGACTGCAAAGTCAAAAAGAAAAAAATCCTACTTTGTGGATACTTTTCTCCGAGTCACAGCTGAACCAAAGCCTCCTGCCAGCTCTGCTGTAACCTAAGAAACCACCGCTTTCCTCAGAGTAGAATCTCAGAGTCACATGCAGCTTCCCTGTTCCTCAACAAGAGGTGCTGCCAGGGTGTTCAGGAATTCCCCTTCTGAGTCCCACAGGCCTTCCGGAAACACACGAAACCAAGTGTGCATTCACAGTCTTTTAGGTATGTGTCCAAAATAAACTGCCCACACCAGTCATCTCATCACTGTGGAGCGGGGATAGAGTCTGTGGCCAAGCTGGGTCACATAGCAAAATCAAACTAAACAGACACCAAATGAACAAACATACTACCTGTCACAAGCCGGATTGAGGCTATTAGCTAATGAAGCCCAGACAGTTGGTGAGCTTCGATTACAGACAGTCCGACCGTTACCAGAGCGGATGTCTCCGACTAGCGCAGCGCCTGCCTTCACCCGTAATTAACTGCACTTTCAGACTAATAATATGGCTGGGAAGCACTGGCCTGGGGAACCTCTGGCAACAGCCCAAGGGATTCCGAGCAAAGACTCCTGAGAAGGTCAAAGCCAGGTAACAGCAGGCATGAGCAGGCACTAATAAAAACACCTGGTGGCAGGGGACTGACCTAAGCACTTTGCTTTACATGTAGTAACTAATTTAACGCCGACAACCTCTAAGATCCTGCCGTCACCCCACGTAAAGTGGTGGGACTGAAGAAAGCCTAAGCAGCCAGAACAGAATATTAACACAGCCACGAAGTGATGGAGATGCCACGGTGGACAAGGTGGACAGCTTCCCGTGGTTTCCCCACGGGCCGCACGGAAGCTCCTAGAAGCCCACCGGCCCTAGCCAGCTCTCCCTCCATATGTTTGCTTTTGATGCCTTGAATCCCATTGTTGAAAAAGCAAAGAACAACGGAGTATCTCCGTATTACACAGCGGAATCTCAACCTGTGTCCTGAGGATGCCCTTCCAAATAGTCTGACGTATCAATTAAGTCCTGGACCAGAGAACCGACATGGACAAAGAATCTAAAGGAGCAATATCAAACAAGCGAGCTTTGAAAGTACCGGGCTTAGGAAACCGCTGAGAAGGGGCGCATCCATCGCGCGCGAGGTGTCCCGAATGAGGTCTGGAAAGCGCAGGGACCCTGGCAGCCCTCAACCCCGAGGCCTGAGGCCTTCGTGCCAACAGCGCAGCACAGGCGGCCTCTGGGTTGACAGGGTGCTGCGCTGAGGGAGGCCGCGGGCAGACGGATCTCCGGGCTCCGGGAGGAAACTGCTTCACGGATCTCCTCCTCCGCGTCGCACAGGGTCTGCGCACCCCTGACCCGGGACGCCTCCAGTCGGGCCAGCCCGAAGAGGGGCGGTGGGCTGGTGTCCCAGGTCGCGGGGAAAGGCCGAGGCCCGTGACCACCAGCGCCTGTGCCGACCCCGGGGCTCCCCCGTCTCCTCGGGATACGAACTGTCCTCCGGTCGTGCCCTCGCCCGCCCACCCGCACAAAGCGGAACGCCGTAACCCCTGACCCCGCCAGCACCTCGGCTTACCGGCTCGGCCACCACCTGACACGCCGCGTCGGCGCCTCCATATCCCAGAAGCCAGCAACTAGCTGGTCAATCTCCTGCCCTCCCGCGATTGGCCCGCAGGACGGGAACTCCACTTCCTGATTGGCTGGACTCCTGCAGCCGACGCACCGCGTGGCGGGCGGACCGGGAGCAAAGGCTCCGCCCGCCCATGCTGGAGTTGGGGGCGGGACCTAGTTGGGGCGGGTCCGAGTCGGGGGCGAGGCCCGCTCCAGCCATGGAGTTCAAACACACCGCATTCGCAGGTTGGCAACTCCCACCCCGGGAACGCAAGATACATTTTTGTCATAGTTTCCGCCATCTCTTTTTAGGCAACCACAAGCCTGCTTCCTCCGAAGAGATGATGACTACGAGATACAGCTACAACCGACAATAGGGCACCATGGCAGCCTCTCTTCGTCTGGCTTCTTGGGCCACCGCGCTGTGTCCACTGACGCGCCAAGAACACCCCCACGTCTGGGAGGAACCGCGAAACTTGGACCAGCGGAGCCAGTTCGGCCGCACCAGCCCTCCTCCTCCTCCTCCTCCTCCCAAGTCTCTCAGTGAGTTGTCCTCCATCCCACCTAGCTGTGTCTTCTCCCCACACAGTATCCTGCCTTCCCCAAAGCAGTCCCGCTCTATCTCCGGCCTCACACCTCAGAGCCTTTCTCTGTAGAGACCAAGAGGGGAGAGACTAAGTGGCCTGACAAGACCCCCAGCTTGCCTCGAAATTCTTAAGAGCCACCAAAACCGCTTGGTTCTTGTTTGTTTTGTTTTTGTTTTGTTTTGTTTCCGATTTCCCCTTCTGGCTATAACAATAGAGAGGATAGCGCTGTGTTGTTCTTCACATAAAAACGGCTGGGAGAAATGTAAGAACGGAGACAGAAAGAGAGCGTAAACCCACAGAAATGGAAATTAAAAGATATGATAACAGCAAAAGCAAACTGTGTACAAAAAGAAAAAGCCAAACTTCCGCACCCTGGTAAGGGCTGCAGCTTTCCATACAGAGTGGTCTCCTGAAAGAAGAGAAGAGGCACACGTTAGTTCTGGACGAGCACCCTCTGGCCCACAGCCTCCCAGCCTCCTCTGGGACCCTCCGTTGCATCTAGAAAAGAAAAGGGTCGGGGCTGTTGGTGTCAGCTTCCAGGTGTGCTCGGCTGGAGCGTCCCCGCCGCTAGCTGCCCACTTACTTAGCTCACAGTTGGGAGCAGTTGCTGCGGCCCTTGGCTGCCTCTTCCCCATGGTGCAGAACTGGTTTGATTTTTGCAGAACAGCGCAGCGTCTTTATATGCGGACTAGAGCGCCTCCCTTGGTGGGAGATGAGATTAGAGGTGGGACAAGAGTGAGGGAAAACTTCAAACCGCACCCTCTAAAGCATAATCAAATTTCATCTTTGACCGGCATTGTATTTCTGTCTGCCACTCCTAGTTATTAATAAAAATTAATTGAGTTAAAGTTTTCTTCTGAGATTTCCTTTCTGTGCCTCTCCGAAGGGCGGGACCTGGAGGCTAAGGGTGCTGTGAATGAAATGGGTGGAGGGAACTGCTTTCTTCTG